GCTTACGTCTCAGGAAAAGATAGAGCTGCATTACATGGTTTGGGAAGTGAGGGACATAGTCTGAGGTGTGGATTGATGGTTGACTCTGCTAGTGCATGGCATGTGGATTGTCTTTGCATTATCATGTGCAGGTCTGTTTTGTTCGTGGGTTTTGGATTGAATCTGGGATTGACATCGTGAAGAGTCCTGGGCACACAGCACTTGTGACAGTGGAAAGGGTTCCCGACGGTAATACTCTCATACTCTTTTGGTCTTATATAAATCCTGTGCTATTTGTTAACAGTTGTGACATAATCTGATCAGTAGGATAGAGAGTCTTAGCAATTAGGAAAGTCGTACAAGTTCGATCATCAAGAAAATTAAAGCATAGAGCGGAAATAGACTACCGTTAAAAAGTTTGACTTGAAATACGTAGCGGGTCAGCTCCAGGTGTCTTACCGCGCGTATCCCATTTAGTGCTACAGCGATCGAGAAAACGCCCTCGGCCGACCTACCTCTGCTCAGGCATGTAAAAGCCTTCGTACGTGGGTCAGTAGCTCAGCAGGGATACGCCTACCTGAGGGTGGTGACAGCCCCTCGGGTAGAGGTAAGTTGTACCTCGCGACGTCCCGACCTGTCGCAGGGCGTCGTGAGAGGTATATCACGAGCGCACGGTTGGAGTGGTGACGAGTTGATTCTTCGAAAATAAATCCTGCGTGACACGACCGTGAGGTTCAGCGCTCCCAGCGGGTTGCGGGACCGCCGCGCGCGACAGCGTGATGATCGTCTTCGTGATGGTCGTCTTCGTGATCGCGCTCTCCGTCATTTCATGTTGCTTGCCGACGGGGTCATCGCTGCGATCATTTTCTGACCAGGGGTCTTCATCCCGTGACTTCGAATGAACCTGGTCGTGTGAGCGACCGGGCGCATCCATACATAAGGAGCCGTAGAGAGAGAGAGAGAGAGAGAGAGAGAGAGAGAGAGAGAGAGAGAGAGAGAGAGAGAGAGAGAGAGAGAGAGAGAAAGAAAAAGAGAGTTCACCTCGGCATGGAGGGCATCAAAACGTCTTGGTCTTTCCCTGTGTAGAGATCATGGTCGTAATTCCTTTCGAGATCTAAGTAGCTGAAGATCTGCCGCTATAGTACACTCTGACTGGCTTATACAGGATCGGTACCAATCACTCTCTCAAACTAGGCTACAGCAGATCGACCCTGGAGAGGAACTGCTATTTGATTGTGGGAACATGCATTCGAGGTATTACAGCTGCATATCTGAGCACTGCGGAGTTTCTGGTTACCAAGAGAATGTTGTTGAACAGGACTGCTAGAATTACAGTTTGTTCAAGGCTGACGTGCCCTCTGGTACGGGGCACTTTTGGAGGGACTGCACCACCCGCTACTATGGTGATTGTGTTACTACTGCTGTGACGCAGCGGGTCGCTGCCACAACGGATAGTTTACTGCTGTTGAGGCCGTGTCGTTGAACAGCTATCGATGTTCCCACTCTGTCACGGTGGTTGCAAGCCTATGCGTCCAGGCTTGGTGGGCTGTTGAAGTTACAACGCTTAGGGGAGGATGTCAATAACGTCAGACGAGTAGAGAGGAAGTGAAGGACTGTTACTGAATTGACTATAGAGCACTACGACCCCGGGTGTATGGCCAAAGTTTGGGTTGTGGGATTGACCTGCTAGGAAAATCTGGACGGATACTGACACAAGTGTTGCTGTTGAGACATGCGTTCTGGGTACTGTCTGTTGCGGCAACCTCGAAAAATGTGCTGTGTGGTCGGACAAGCCGTAGTATCCCAATAATCTTCCTTCTTGGAAGAAGTGAGGGTCGTTGTGTCTTGTGAAGCAGCATTACACTTTCGGTAGAATTGGTATGAGGGCGCTGTGCATTGCCATTTTTGTTTGACTACCACGCACAATTGCTATGCTCATTGTTGTTTGGCCCTGTGCTGTGGAGCGTCGGTAGCATTCTGAACAGAGCGAAGGGGTATGCTCTATTCGAACGTGGCATCTTTGCTATACGTAGCTGCAGTTCGGACAGAGGGAAGTGCCTGTGAGTTGGCGGTTACCATCGGCAGGCTGTGGGGATTTTATTTGCTGCTACAATATTTCTGCTGGAACTATTACAGCGACTACTACGGGTGCTGGAACGGGCTGCCACAGCACACAGGTTGTGTGTTGCTGTGCCTTTGAGGGGCTGCTGCGGTGCCAGTTTATTGTGCCCCCCGTTCCCTGTTGTACTTTCGTTGATGAGTTTCGCTGTACACCAACTGCGCACGGCTGTGGACTCGGAGGAGTGAGCAGACCGTGCATAGGGCTATCGCGGTGGCTTCGAGGGCAGTTAGGGGACCGGTATTCTGCGTTCTGGTCAAGACTTGGTCACTCCTGTTGCGTTTTTAATTGGCCATCATTGCGGGGCCCTCAGGCGATTCAAGACTACAAGGCCCTCTCCCGTGAGTTTGAGCGCACCCCTCGTGTATCTGAGCGTCTGAAACCTCTACTTCTACCTTTCTTACTCTAAGTCTAGTCTGAGGTTATGAGAGGAAGGCGGCAGGCGGGATTGCAACTCGTAGGTCCGCATCAAGACCTTGTGGGAGGTCCACCCACCGATTGCGGGAGCTCTGCCGGAGCCCAGGCGGGGTTCTGGAGGCAGGGAACACTCAGGTATAATCTCGCTTACTTATACGACCATGTATTCCCCTAAAGCTATTTCACTGTTTTGACTGAGATGGTGGTAAAAACCATATATTTCTGACTTTATTAGTTTGTACCTATGTTGCGATTCGTACTCACCACCGTACGAGTACAAGTTGTACTCATTTGTTGTACCCTACTCGTACTCAAGGCCCGTACGACTTTTTTTTATTTTGTTTTACTGTTTTTATTTTTTTTCTCCAATTCTAATAAGAATATGCAGACGGTGCTCGAGCAAATGTTGCTTGTCTTGGGATTTTACATCACATATATAGTTTTCGGATTTTTTGGATGGCTTAGATATTATCTGTACACTTCGCACGGAAAGGCCCCGTACGTGTACGTTCGGTAACGTAGGTTTGTACCTTGTTTCTCAAAACAATGCAAACTAAAAGAAAAGAATCCTGTGTGAGAGTCAGATACTTAGATCGTTTGAAGTAAGAAAAGGAAAAAAGGGGGAGGGTCGGAGGCAGGAGTTTTGCATGTGTTTGACCAGGTCAACCCAAGGCTGAGCTCCTCCGGGTGGATGTGGGCCCAGTGTTGTGTTTTATTGATGTTTGCTGGGCTGCGTGAATGACTTTTATGGCTGGTCCTACCTGGGTAGGATGGATGAGTCGCTGATTCTTTTAAGGGTTTCTGGACAGGAGGACGGGCACCCTAGGTAGGGAAGGCTTAGAAGCCTGGTGTTTATTTTAAGGAGTTGAGGTGCATGTTTTTTCTGAGGGAACAAAGACATAAGACTAAGTGTACCCTAAGGGGTAGGGCGGCTTAGCCATGAGCCATGAACTAACTGGTCAACCAGAGTATGAAATGTGATACATATATTATTGAACTTATACTTCTGACAGACCGGGCGCCCTGGGTAGGGAAAGCCAGTCAGTAAGTTGGGTAGAACAAAGGAAGAAAAGGAAATAGATTATTCGTGTCATATTAACTGTTGTATGGCTGACTAGGCGTATCCTAAGGTTAGGGCGGCCTAGTGATATGCTTGTGTCATTGATGTAACGTAAGCTGGACGTACCCTAAGGGTTAGGGCGGTCCAACGTTTTATCGTTTATACTTATGTTTAGGCAAGTTAGGCCTAACCCTGGGTAGGGATGGTCTAATGTTATGCCATATGTAACCTTGTTTAAGGCAGACTGGGCACACCCTAGGGTTAGGGCAGCCCAGTCCTATGCTTCATGTCGTTAAGTTGGCAGAAGCCAGGCGTACCCTAAGGGTTAGGGGGGTCTGGTCATAAGCATTACGTATATAGTTCATGTTATGTTGGGCACACCCTAGGGTAGGGCAGTCCAGACGTGCGTATCTTATCTGTTATTTAGGCAGGTTGGACATACCCTTAAGTTATGGCATTGTCTGATCGTATGCCATAGGCAAGGGGGGTTTACTAAGGGAAGAGAACTGAGTGATCTAACGAACTACTTGGGTCAAACTGATGTGGGATTGTGAGAGATGTTTGTCTATGCATGCTTGTGGGTTTTCACTCTGGGGCGTCTTTTCGATAGGTTAGTTGCTTTAGATGCTCGCCAAGTGCTGGAGTCATAGATAGATAAGATGGATGATGGGAGGAAGAGTTTGGGATAAAGATAGGACTGTCCTTGCTTGGAGTCAGAGTTGACGATAACTCACAATCTATGTTGCACGCTAGCCGCGGCCGGTTTCGGCCTAGGCCGCGGCCGCCCGTCCCAGGCCGGGACCCCCCCGGCTGAGGCTGGCCCGGCCGAGGCCGGCCCGGCCGAGTTTTTTCGGCCTCGGTGTCGGCCGATCTGGGGGGCGGTTTTCGAAGCGGGGAGCGGGTTTGGGGTGGGGGGGKGGGGGGGCACCCCCTCGAAGTGACAGGGCGTCAAAAAAAAAAAAACGGGGGGGTCCTGCACAAGACCCTGGAAGGGTGGGCCGCGAAAAATTCATCGTCCCCCGTGTGCAGGTTCGTCGATGCGGGGTCGCAGGAAGGAGGGTCTGGAACAATGAAAAAATATAAAAAAAAATATTTGACCCCTGCGGGGGCGGCCCAACGTGGGCTGGATGAGGGCCTGGTTGGGGCAGGCCGTGCGGCCTTGCCGGGTCGAAGCTAGACGGGGGTGCAGATGGCAGACCCCAGGCGGATCAGGGCCTCACGCACTGAAAGGTAGGCGTCGGTTTCATTCATGAGGGCGATGACAGTTCGTGGCATATTTTAAAACAACACATTCATGGCAATCATAAGTCAGACCCTGTTTGGCATACCAATGTCAAAACACATTGAAAATCAATCACAGTGCGGCGAACCACAAGTTTCAAATAGTGATAACAGGCAAGTGTCTCATAGTGTGTGTTCACTCATGAGACTGATGAACATTTATTAGCACATCATTTATGTAAGAACACATTCATTAGCACATCATCCCTATGTCGCATCTGAAATTAACAACACATTCATAATGGAGGCATCCATGACATGCAGGTGCGTGGCATCGGAGAAGCACATAATTTGCAACAATCACGACAATAGAGCAGAAAACAATCACCAAACAACAGCGACTCAGATGCAACACCAATGTTGGCGGAGGAACAAGAACAAGAGCAAATATATGACAAAGCATTTCAATGGAAATGCGTATGTACAAGGCTGAAGCCAAAAACTGGACCCGTAGTCTCTACTCTACAACCGGGTAGCAAAACAAAACTGGACCCATCGTCTCCGCTACACAACAGAGTAGCAAAAAAATAATGGACCCGTCGTCTCTACTGTACAACCGAGTAAAAAAAAAAAACTGGACCCATCGTCCCTGCTACACAACAGAGTAGCAAAAAAAAATTGGACCCGTCGACGGGCGTCGTCTCTACTGTACAACCGAGTAGCAAAAAAAAAAAGAAAACCCTAATGTCCACATACTGTCGTCGTCTCCATGGAACAACATCGACATAAATATGCAACAACCCTGCCGACATAGCGTCCAGGCTGTACAGCCACGTGAAAAACAAAAAAAAACTAATGAAAAAACAAAATACACCACGGACGTCGTCATCTCCCACCAGAGCGCACACGGCCTATCCCGGAGGACGGGAGGCCATGCGGTCCTCCCCGACGCCCTCCTCTCCCTCCGGCACCTGTGCCCCGTGCCCCGCTAACATGTGCCGCATGTGCTGCAGCGGCCACCGCGGCCACCTGTGCCCTGTGTCTGCGGGCCGCGGTCTCGATCGGCTCGGACTCAGTGTCTGCGTCCTCGTTCTCCTCCGCCTGTGCAGCAATCCCCCCCTCTCTCTCCCTCTGAATCGCATCCGATCCCGCACTATCTCTACCGTCGTCGCTGCGTCTGTCGGACCCCACCTCACCCACACCGGACTCCCTCCCTCTCACGCCGCTGAGCGACGAACCCGACCAGTGAGGGCTCTGCACCACGAACGGCGACGGTGAATATACCCTCCTAGGAGCCCGCTGCTTGCCGCTCTTGCGGCTCACGTGTGCGAAACGGTCATCCGTCAACGCTTGCGCCAAAGCGTCGACGTCGAAGAAAGTGTGTGTTGTGTCATCAGGGCGCAAGGGAGGCACTATAGGGTCTCTCAACACTAAGGCGAGCCTATACGGATCATCCTCGGGACCGTGGTCGTCGTCATCGTCGCCGTCCGGTCCATCGTCTCCACTGACACCCGCGGTATCCCCATCTCCACCGGGTCCACCCTCTCCTCTGCCACACACTGCGGCACCCTCTCCCTCGTCACCCGTGGTCTCGCTGTCGCCACGGCCCCCACTAGGGGACCCACCGCCCATGACAACATCTTGCCCCTCAGGGACACCCGCGGTCTCCTCGTCGCCACGTCTTCCACCACCTGACCCACCACCCGCGGCGGCATCCTGCCCCTCATAATCGAACTCCCTCTGAACCGCCTCCTTAGGGACACCCGAGTCGTCGACGTCACGGCTCCCCCCCCCTCCTGTCTCCAAGTCCCTCTGCCAACGCTGCTCGTCGAGATACGCGAACCGACCCTCCCACTGTGGCAAACTCCTCAGTTGTTCCTCCTCCTCTCGGTCCAAACGGGCATCCCTCTCCTCCTCAGTCTCAACAGGGCCCTGCTCAACGTCCGCGTCTGTGCGCACCTCCTGCGGTGAGGCACGTCGACGTCCCTCAACACTGAAATCTCCCAAGCTCCCGCCAAGCCCTATGACGTCGAAGTCCTGTGTGCGGAGCACCGACGGCGAGCGGGGGCGGATACCGGCGTCGAAAGGAGTCCTCTCCCCCCCACTATCCTCGCCGTCATGTGTCCGGTCTCTACCTGCTGCCGATGCCAACCTCTCCGAATGCCTAAGTGCCTCGGGCTGTGCAGAGATCGGATGATGGGAGGGAGAGAAGCGACGATCGTAAAGGGGCACCTCCTCATCCTCGGCCTCCCCATCGGCCTCGCTGTCGCTCATAACCTCCCAACGCCTCCCTGTCTGCCGAAGACCTCCCCGTGGCTGCTGCTCCCCCGAGTCGTCCACTCGATCCTCCGCATGCGAACATCCTCCACGACCACCGCCGGCTCTGCTGCTGCCACTCGCCTGTGCGGTCGACGACACATCACCAGTGATAACTGATGTGAATGAATCCATGTCGTCATGACCCCCACCGTAAGTGAAGTACACTCGCTCAACCGTCGGGTCGCGACTCAGCGGCGTGTCATCATCATCAGTCCAGTCGTCGTCGATGTCGTCGTCTCTCGCAGCAGCGTCCACATCATCCCCACCCTCCGGCCACGGTCGCAGCTCCGCCGCTCTGCTGCCGAACACGTCCCGAACCGAACGGGCTCTGGACGGTCGGCTGTCATGGAAAGCGACAATTTGCCGCTGGATCTCCTGCTCGAGAACACTGCCATCAGGTCGCGCTCCCCACACCTCGGGCTCCACATCTCCCTCCTCATCCTCCTCCTCTGCTGCCGTCCCCCCCCCGACCGGTCCCCATAACCCATGGCAACACGTAGCCACCACCCTGCYGTGCGCACGAGGCCAGTTTGAGATTGGTGGCAATCTCAACCAGCTGTGCAAGCTTGGCGAACCCAAGCTTGCAGCGCCTCGCCGTGCTGACGCGCTCGTGCTCCGCCCAGTTCCTCTCCGCTAGAGAGGCAGACGTCCACAAGTGCATGACACGGATGGCGATGGTCCGCAACTCCGGGTGGGCACGTCCATGCTCAAACCACCACGCTGCACATCGCTCGGTCTTGCTGTCCCCCCTGCAATCGGCCGCCTTGGCATCGGAGAGGTCACGATCTCCCCAATCCCCTCGCCTCGAGTGGAACGCCCTCATCTGGTCCCTCACGCTCCTGTACAATAAGCCGATCGGATCGCCGTCGGTCTGCGCCAGGAAAATTTGTCGCACTCCTCGACCACACGGCGGCCGTCGGCGGTCGTCTCCGGCGAATGGTAATACGTGAGGGACCGTCGACGAGGGTTGAGGAGGTGGGCCGCGGGATGTGCGGGCTTTAGCATGTGGAGGTTGCGGATGGCAACCTCACGCACACACGGCTCGATCATGTCCATCGGCACGTCGACCCTCCTCATCAACTGTAGCAGATGCTGACTCCACTCGTAAACGACGGACATTATCATCCCCCCTCTATCCATCCTGCGCAACAGCTGGCGGACGGGCGACATGACTATGATGGCATACTGGACACGCTGCCAAAACTCCCCGTCCCGGATCTGCTGCTGCACCCACTGCGCCTGAGATACGTGGGCGCGATCCCACGGGATGTGTGCCCAAGCATCCCCGTGCAACATGCTCTCCAACGCGTCTCGTCGGCCTTTGAGACACGTCAGCATCAGAAAAACCGATGCAAACCGTGTCTCAACGGGCTCGACGAGATGAACGAGAGGGCTCACCTTCCTAAACAGGGTGTGAGCAGCGCCGTGCGATTTAATAAATCGCACAAGCGCTCGAGTGCGGATGATGGTCTCCTTGACCCACCCTACTCACGTCCCGATATCTGACAACATCAAGTTGCAGACATGGGTGGAGCAGGGGAGCCAAGTGATCCTCCTAATGTCAGGCTTGGGGTCTGTGGCGAACCTGCGCGCTGCCATTGTATAGTTACTGGCGGAGTCTGTGCAGAAGCCAATCACGTCCTTTGCAGGAAAAGACAAGATGATGGCCCGCCACCTACGGTACACGACGTCCGTTGTGTCTCGGATCGACCCGTCACGTGCGACGGTGGCATATAGCAGGGCGCCATTGGCGCCCCCGGCGAGGAAGTTCACGAGCGGCTTGCCACTGCGTGACTTCCTCCCGTCGGAGAGGATGGTGGCACCGCTGTGCCGGAAAGTGACGCGCAGCTCGCTCACCATCGTCGCCACCTTCACCCTCTGCGAAGGGATACCGGCGCCCTCTGTAACCCTGTAGGAGGGAAATCGGAACTGGATAGAGCGAGGCACTCTCTTTGCTGCATGCCGCACCCTGTGGAACTCCGGACCACGGAAGGCGTTGAATGGCAACTTCTTCACGTAGATCCACTGAAGCCACGCGTTTGAGAACTCGGCCAACTTCTCCCTGACGTACATCTCGTCAATCGTGGTCTGCCGAGCCCTCTTCTCCCTGCCCGTGTCTGGCACCTCGACGCCAGCCTTCCCCACTGACCTCTTCTCCCTCCTCGCTCGCTCCAACTCAGGTCGCGGCGCCCTAGTAGCAGAACCCGCTCGACCGACGCCTCTCGACGTCATCACCACCTCCTCCCCTGGCAGGTTAGGCTCTCCGACTGCCTCATCTGCCTCGTCTGCAACCGCCCCCTCCCTGGCCCCACCCTCGCGGCCCTCCTCCTCATCGAGGGCGTCCTCAATCTCGTCTCTCTCTGCGTCGTCCATCCGCTGTCTCTGGCCACCCGCGGGCGCTCTCGTGTCCCGTATGCCCTCGTCTGCCATCCACCTCTGCACCCTCTGAGCAGTGGACGACACGAATGTGTAGTCCGTGCCGTTCCAGAGTTCCGCGAGAACTCTCATCCCCCCAGCCTTGCAGAACTTCGACTGCTTGAAATGACGCGCGGCCTTCGACGACCCCCCCTGAAACAGGTGGCCGCATAAGTTGCAACGCAACTTTCGGTCCCGTGCATCTTGGACTGGTCCCCGACGTACTGGCCCGCGGTGACGAAGTTCTAAACAATGTTCCCTCGCCTCAACTTCGCCATCTCATTCTCGGACAGCGGGTTGAAGTTGGCACCCCCAGACCCCCCTCACACCGCTGCTCCCTGCACCCCCCGTCATCGCCCCCCCACCAGGATCCAACAAGTCGTGGCCTCGATCTTGGATGTTGTCCGACTGTGCCACCCCATCGATGTAACGTCCCCTCGATGTCGCTGCACCCTGACGTCCCCGCCGCTCCTGTCGCCGCGTCCCCTCGATGTCGCGCAAGCCCACGGTCCACCAGCACCCTGGCGGACCGCCCAATAGCGCGCCACGGAGGTGGGCAGCCTTGTCCAGCCGCCCTCGACCGTGATCGGCCTCGATTGGCCGTGATCGGCCGTGTCCGGCCGCATTCGACCGTGTTTGGCCTAGCCCGGCCGCGGCCAGGCACTAAAATGGCCTCGCGCTGGAAAACGACGCGCGCGCCGATGGCAACGACCGTGCGGCGGCCGCTGGGCAGCGCGGGGCCGCTGTCCCGCGTGCTCGCGCGGCGCGCGCCGCTGCAGGGTGCGCAGGAAGAAGAAGAAGAAGAAGAAGAAGAAGAA